TTGTGTCTGCTGACCCTGCCTGAGACCCTAATCCTGTGATTTCTGCGGTGCCGCCTGCCCATCCTGCTGGTGTTGCTTTGCTCCTTTCTGTAAGGAACCAAAATGTCCAGGACACTGTGTGCCCTGGGGCAGGGTTGTGGGGGGGGGGGCGGTGCGGGGGACAGCTGGTGCTTAACTCTTACTGGGTTGTGGGACTGCTCTGGGGCCTTCTCGTTGGCCATCACTGCTCTGTTGTGGGCTGCTGGGTTTGTGAAGCTTCTCCTGGGAGGAATGCTGCTAACAACCCCACGCCACCCTCTGCTCTCAGAGGCCCAGCAGATATGGCTCTCTTGCTTTTCCAAGATTTTTCAAATGCTGCACAAACAGATCGTACTGATCCCTTCTTTCTTTCTGTCTTCACTGAACGTGATCTGTGGATTTCATGTCAGGTCAGGAAAGAGAATAACTTTATCTCGTGTAAGTGTTTGCTAAACCAAAGGTGTAGGCCCTGCACAATGGGGCAGTAGCCCTGTTTTTCCCTGAGGGTCCTTGTCCTGTGGAATTGAAGGCCACTCCATTTGTTTTGTGAAGACCCAGCTCCCCTGGGGCAAGGTTGGCAGAATTCCAACACACTTTCTCGCCATGACTAGGGTGTTTTCCTCGTGGCAGACAGGAAAACACTGAGCAGGGCCTGGACTTAGCTGCTTTTCATTGCGTTACGCCCCCAATAAAATAATCCTATTTTACTGTCCCTCTCATTCTCTCTCTCCTCCAGGTGCAAATAGTCTACAAACCAGTGGATCTGAGCAAGGTGACCTCCAAGTGTGGCTCATTAGGCAACATCCATCATAAGCCAGGTAGCCAGCCCTTGCAGGAGGCAAGGACGGGGCGGGGAGGCCTGAGGGGTGGGACAGGATGCGGTGGTGCCTTCTCCGGAAGTGGTTGGGAAGGACTGATGGGATGGGCCATCAAGGAGAGTGTTAAGGGTGGGACTTGCTGCGGCCTGGGAGGCGTGGCTTCGTGTGTTGTTCCTGAGCAGGGCCAGACTGGCCAAGACGAGATAAGGAGGGAGGGCAGATGCTGGTCTAAATCCTAACCCGCAGTTCTCCAAGTAGGCTGCACACGGGGCATGTAGAGCTGGGAAAGGGCCTGATCTGGCCCCCAAAGCCTGGCTAACGTGGATGTCCCGGTTTGGTCCTCAGCCAGCGTGAGGGGCATTTCACCAGTTGCCCCAGCTACAACATGGGACCCTGGGCTGTTGCCATGCTCCCACTGTCATTTCATTTCAACAGAAAATGATGCTGTTGGAACTCCCCATGCTAACCCTTTCCCTCTCCATCTCATGCCGTATAGAAATCAGTGCTATCTATAGATCTTTCTGAGACAGTGGGAATGTTCCATACCTGTGCTGTTCGGTATGGTAGCCACTAATGACATGTGACTATTGAGCATTTGAAATGTGGCTGGTGCAGTTGAGGAACTGAACGAATTTTATTTAACTAAATTTGGGGAATTCCCTGGCAGTCCAGTGGTTAGGCCTCGGTGCGTTCACTGCCGGGCCTGGGTTGGATCCCTGGTCGGGGAACTAAGATCCCACAAGCCGCACCGGCGTGGCCAAAAAGATAAAATTCGATTAAAATTTAAAAATAAATAAATACAATTTAAGTAGCTACAGGTGGCTAGTGGCTACCATCTTGGAGAGATAACTTCCGCCTGAAAGGCCAGAGCAGGGCCGTCTGCTTTAGGCCCTGTTCAGGGCTGAGGTCGTTACTTGAACCGTAACTGCAGGAAGAGGAGGTCGTCAGAAACGTAGTCTAGAAGGTGTGTCATTACTTCCTGCCTCCCTTGGACATCTTGTGGGAGTTCAGTCTCTCCCAGTGAAAACTATGCCTCTCCTGAAGCTACCATCCTACCACATTGGGAGCAGCTTTCTTTTTTTTTTTAAATAAAGTATGGATATCTTTTTAAAAAATTATTTTTGGCCATGTTGGGTCTTTGTTGCTGCGCACAGCCTTTCTCTAGTTGTGGAGAGCGGGGGCTACTCTTCGTCGTGGTGCGCGAGCTTCTCATTGTGGTGGCTTCTCTTATTGCGGAGCACAGGCTCAGTAGTTGTGGTGCACGGGCTTAGTTGCTCCGCTGCTTGTGGGATCTTCCCGGACCTGGGCTCAAACCCATGTCCCCTGCCTTGGCAGGCAGATTCTCAACCTCTGTGCCACCAGGGAAGTCCCAAGGGAGCAGCTTTCTTAAGTGGCTTTATCCTTCCAAAGAAAGTAATGTAGTTCGTCTATTCCTCAGGCCATATCTCCCGCACTTGGGCATGGCATCAAGTGTCTGAGGAGGGAGAAAGGGTCAGGGCCCTTCTTTATTAAGGGTGCATTTTGCCATTTAGTTTAATTCTGAGGTCTTATAGGGCTGTAGCTTATAGGATGTTGGCATAGAAAGACTTGACTCTTTTGGAAGCCAACTAATTTAGAATAGTTTCTTGCGAACTGAGCTGTCATCTACCTTTGCATCATCTGAGGAGGAAGAGTTTGCTGAGTAAATATTTGATGTGCACCCTGATTAGAGAGAGAAAGCAAACTGCTTTCAAGCCCTTTGGAAGGATCTACTTGCTCCAAACCACGCTCTAAATAAAAGCTGGTCTTAGCTCTCCCTCAAGGTTGGCGTCTGCATGGAATCACTCACTTGCTTAGCCCTCACTCAAGGCTTGGTGCCCTTGTGTGTATTGTGTTCCAGGAGGTGGCCAGGTGGAAGTAAAGTCTGAGAAGCTGGACTTCAAGGAGAGAGTCCAGTCCAAGATCGGGTCCCTGGATAACATCACCCACGTCCCTGGCGGAGGGCATAAAAAGGTAAAAGGGCAGGGCGGGGAGGAGGCTATAACAGTCAGGCGGACAAGGCTGGTCCAGTTTCCCACGGCAGGAGAGCTGAGGGTCCTGTATTGACTGGCTTGACATGGATTCTCAGCTACCACCAGGCCTGCGGGGCTCCACCTGGGCTGCCCTTTGATGTCCCCTGGGAGCTTCAACACACTTGATGCCAGGCCCCACCCTGGAGAGCCTGACTAATTGGTCTCAGGTGCCATCTGGGCACCTGGAGTGGAGCTTTTAAAGCCCCCAGGTGACTCTTTAGTGCAGTTAAAGGTGAGAGCCATTGCCCTAGGCCCTGTGGTGGGCAAGCATCCCCAAAAGGAAGAAGCCATCACAAAGCCAGCCCCAGTCACCAAGAGCCCGTCACGGGAATGTAACCTAACTTTCTAAATGGGTCACTAGGCAGTTAGAGCAAAACAGTGATGCTGGAGTCCAGATTTCAGCAAGGCCTCTGTAAGTGTCCACGGGGAGGCTGCTAGACCAAGGACCTCAGCGTTCCCTGCAGTTTCTAGAGGCCCTGGGTCTGGCTCTGGGTGTCTGTGTGCAGTGGGGGCCGGGGGCCACCAGTGTCTCCCTCTGGGCCCATTGCAGAATGCCGTCTTGTGGCTGCACTTTTTTCTTCTGCATAAATACAGCCAAGTGCCCTCTGGGGTTTCCTGCCCACGCCTGCCCTGAAGTTCTGCAAGTGGCTCACTTTCCAGTCTTCAGTGCCTCTCAGCAGCTGACTGAGGAGTGGTGAAGGGAGAAGGGATGTCTGAGAACGGGTGTGGCAACTGAGACCCAACGCAGCAGTGAGCAGTGGTGCAGCCCAAGGGGGCCCCGCTGGTCAAAAGTGGCAGCCGGGCCTCGCTTGGAGGCCGCCAGGGTCCCCACGGCAGTCACCACCCCTCCCCCCATCCCGCTCACCACCACCTCCTCCTCCGGTTCTGAACAGACACACCCCACCTTTGCAGTGAAAGCCCGACAGCATAGTTTTGGAGAAGCCTTTGCTGGCGTGTTCTTAAATCACAGGTTGCAAACTGATACCTCGGGGCCGACCTGACCCGTGATGGAGGCACCAGAAGGCCGGGGGAGGACGGGGTCCTGGCTCCCCACAGGGCTCCCTGACCATCAGGCTTCCACATACTGGGTTTCCCCAGGTGCAGGACTACTACTCAGTGCCGCCTGGGTCTCTATTAAAAGTGAGACCCAGGGAAATGAGGTTTTCTGCAAAAGGCCAGCTTGTTTCCATCGCAGCCCCCAGCCTGTTTAATACAGGGCCTCCCTGCCCTGGGGAGCTTTAAAGAGACCACGTCCCACCCCCAGAAAGTCTGAATATATTGTATATGGAATGAGTCTGGGTAGGCCTGGGCGTTGGTGATTCCCAGTTGAAGGAAGGCCTCTACCCCTGACTCTGGAAGCTCTGTGTCCTGGGAAAAGCTCTGAGCTTAACTCTGTTTGGAGGTATGACCCAGGCAAGATCTGCAAGCCATCTCAGCGTCAGGTTCCCCTTCAGCAAAGCGGATGGAAACATTCCCATCCCAGGGTGGTTGTGAGGCCCGGATGAGGCGATGTTCAGGAGGATGCCTGGAGCTTTGTCTTCATCAAAGAACATGAGTCAGAGCCAAATCCGAGTCAGAACTTCTCCTGTTTTAACTCATCTCTGTGATGCCTCAGAAAGGGTGGGCTCTGCCCTGCCCACTGCCCAGGAGACACTGACCTGGTCCCAGAGGGTCCTCTTGTGTTCAGTCCCCTGTTTCCCTCTGTGATGAGCAAAACTGCTGACAAGCAGTGGAGCATAGGACCCCCGCCACCTGAGTTCCTTTCAGTTTGGAGGATTTGGGGACATTCCCAGGATGCTGACCCATTTTTCTTAAGAACATAAGTGTTCTTATCAAATCTTATGTCAAAATGGCCTTTCAGTTGTAGTAATAAGGAAGAGTCCTTTTTTCAAAGTAGTAACCCAACATGAACAAAACAAGCATATGGCTTAAATGGGAGCCTGGTTTTTCTCTACACGCAAATGCCCCTGCAATAGGCCCTCTTTACCTGGGGTCCAGGGACTCCTGAAATTGTAGGGAGAAGTTGTCATGTATGAGAGCAGACACGCTGCTTCTGAGCTTCCCAGGTATCCTTTGGAGCTGAGACCTCTGGGTCAAGGATGCTCTACTTTATTTTTTGTTTATTTTTAAATTGTAGTTGATTTACAATGTCGTGTTAGTTTCAGTTATACATACATACATACATATATATACTGTTTCTCAGATTCTTTTCTCTTATAGGTTATTGCAAAATATTGAGTATAGTTCCCTGTGCTATACAACAGGTCCTTGATGGTTATCTATTTTATATATAGTAGTTTGTACAAGTTATTCCCAACCTCCCCTCCCCTCCCCTTTGCTCTTTGGTAACCATGTTTGTTATCTATGTCTGTGAGTCTCTTTCTGTTTTTGAAATAAGTTCATTTGTATGCTTTAATTTTTTAAATTGTAGTCGATTTTACAGCATTGTGCCAATCTCTGCTGTATAGCAGAGTGACTCATTATACGCATACATTCTTTTTTTATATTCTTTTCCATTATGGTTTATCACAGAATATTGAGTATAGTTCCCTGTGCTATACAGTAGAACCTTGTTGTTTATCCATCCTGTATATAATAGTTTACATCTGCTAATCCCACACTCCCACTCCTTCCCTCCCCGACCCCCCACCCCTTGGCAACCACAAGTCTGTTTTCTACGTCTGTGAGTCTGTTTCTGTTTTGTAGATAGGTTCTTGTGTGCCGTATTCTAGATTCCACTTATCACACATAAGTGATATCATATGGTATTTGTCTTTCTCTTTCTGACTTACTTAGTATGATAATCTCCAGTTGCATCCATGTTGCTGCACAATGGCACATTATTTTGGTTTTTTTTATGGCTGAGTAGTATTCCATTGTATATATATACCACATCCTTTTTATCCATTCATCTGTCGATGGACATTTAGGTTGTTTCCACGTCTTGGCTATTGTGAATAGTGCGGCTGTGAACATAGGGGTGCATGTATCTTTTTGAATTACAGTTTTGTCTGGGTATGTGCCCAGGAGTGGGATTGCTGGATCATATGGCAACTCTCTTTTACTTGCAGACTTTCTGATGATGGCTGTTCTGACTGGAGTGAGTGTTACCTCATGTGGTTTCGACTTGCATTTCTCTAATAATCAGCGTGAGCATTTTTTCATGTGCCTGTTGGCCATCTGTACGTCGTCTTTGGAGAAATGTCTATTTACATCTTCTGCCTACTTTGTATTGGGTTGTTTTTCTGATGGAGTTGTATGGGCTGTTTGTATGTTTTGGAACGATGCCCTACTTTCAAAAGGGCTTTGTTGCACCGTGTTTTCTAGTACACCGGCCAGTGCTGCGCACAGCTGCTGCCACCTCCAGCATCCTCATCAGCCACTGGCAAAGGGGAGGCGTGTGTGTGGCTCACAGCTGGACACCAGGGGCTCCGGCCCCATCCCTGAATCTCCTCCAGCCTCTCCTTCCACGCTTTCATTTGCAGTTTGGCAATGTGTGTACATCAAGATAAAATGCGCACGCCTTTTGACCTACTAGCAATTCCACTTCTGGGATACACTTACAGTACATGTGTGAAATGATATGCCTACAAGGTTATTGAAACGCAGCATTTTCTGTGAGAGCAAAAGACTGGAACAACCTAAATATCCACCCCCAGGGGTGTGGATACATTTTAGTTCATCTGCTGTGACAGGAAACCACACAACCCTCAGCGAGCAGTGAGGGAGCTATGTACTGATGACGATGCAAGGTATTAAGTCTAAACACCAAAGTGCGAAGCTTGTGGATATCGTTGCCTTATGTATGGTATTTTTTTTTTCCTCTACTCACACATACACGTTTGCGTGTGTGTTGGCCTATCTCTGGAAGGGTACGCAAGAAACTCACAGTGGTCGCTGCCTCTGGAGAGGGGGCCTGGGAGGCTGGCTGGCAGGTGACCAGGACTCTGCAGAAGCTTAGCCGTTGGGAAACGATGAAACTGTGGTCCCCACCACACCTCCCTCCCACCCAAGGCCAGCAGTTGGCGGGGCCTCTCCGCCTCACCCTACCCTCTCCTCTCTTGCAGATCGAAACCCACAAGCTGACCTTCCGCGAGAACGCCAAAGCCAAGACCGACCACGGGGCAGAGATTGTGTACAAGTCGCCCGTGGTGTCGGGGGACACGTCCCCACGGCACCTCAGCAACGTCTCCTCCACCGGCAGCATCGACATGGTGGACTCACCGCAGCTGGCCACGCTCGCCGACGAGGTGTCCGCCTCCCTGGCCAAGCAGGGTTTGTGATCAGGCCCCCGGGCGGTCAGTAATCGTGGAGAGAAGAGAGTGAGAGAGTGTGGGAAAAAAAAGAATAATGACCTGGCCCTTCGCCCTCTGCCCTCCCCCAGCTGCTCCTCACAGATCGGGTAATCGGTTGATCACGTAACCTGCTTGTCGCTCACCTCTGGCTCGGAACTTCCAAATCGGTCACGGGGAACGAGAGCCAAGTTCATCTTTCCAAATTGATGGGCGGGCCAATCAGAATAAAATACTTTTAAAAACCTTTAAAAAGATGGCCCTACCCAGAATTTCCTTGGGCGGTTACTTTCGATTCTTTTTTTTTTCCCCCCTCTGAGTGCAAGAGGGAGGGGGAGAGGCTCTGAAAGCTGCTTCTGGGGACTCTCAAGGGCCTGGGGGGGCGCCCCATTCTGGGGGTGTCACAGAGGCAGCAGCGGCAACAAGGGACTCGACACTTGGTGCGCTGGTGGAACCACAGGCGTAGGGCCACCTTTGGAGCAGGACAGGGTGCGGGGGGTGGGGACTGGGCAGTGGGTAGGGCGAGGTGAGGGGGTGGGGGTGGGGCCCGAGTATGCCGGAGGAGCAGCCCAGGGAGGAGATGCTGAGGACGGCCCGGAGGCGCAGCAAGCAGGCCACAGCCTCTGCCGCCCACAGCAAACTCGGACCAAGTGGCCTCCGGTTCTTGGGGGCCCGGGGCCTGCTGCGGGTCGGTGTGCCACCCTCTGGAGGGAGAAGGGCTTACACCACGAAGGGCCGGGGCGGCGGCAGGAGAAGGAAGCTTGCGGGAGTGGCATCCTGTGGGTTTCTTCCTCGGAGAAGACCGAGCGCTGGCCTCTTTCTCCCTCCCCGCAGGGTGGGGGTCCTGAGCTGAGGGGCTTCCCTCTGCCCCGCGGAAACCCTGTTTTATTGAGTTCTGAAGGTTGGAACTGCAGCCACGATTTTGGCACCTCACAGACCTGGGACTTTAGGGCTAACCGGTTCTTTGTAAGGACTTGTGCCTCTTGGGGGACATCCGCCTGTTCCCAAGCCTGGGCCTCTGGCATCTCTGGAGTGTACGGGGACCTGGGAGGTAGCTCCTGAACCTCTCATCCCTCCCACGGCCACCGCAGCCACCTGTCTGCCCCACCATGCCTGTGTCTGCCGTGCGGAGCCCAGTCACTGCCTGTACCCCTCATTACGTCACGCTGTCCCGAGTTCCCAGCCTCACCCCACCCCGCTTTCTCAGTAACGGACATCGTTTAGGTGGGGTGACACCTCCTCTAAACCAAGGGGGAAAGTCAAGGAGGGTGAAGTCCGGACACGGCGGGGGGGCCTCAGTCTCTCAGTCTAAGTTGTACTCATCCAGCTGGCATGTCCCTCACAATGAACCTGATGACCTTACTCGGTTCCCTGCCCCTATCCCAGATGGGAGCCAGGGTGGGGTTCACAGTGACCCTGGACGTTTATGCCTTGTTTACTTGGAGAGCCTTTTCTCCCAGAAGGCCTGGTTCCCTTCCTGTGCCGAGCTGGCAGCAGGTTGGCCGTCCTGGATGCCAGAGATGGCACGGGGACGGGCAGGCAAGGCCCCCAGGGCAGGACCACGCTCCCCGTTCCTTACGTCTGCCCCAGCTTGTGACTGCCAGCCTCTCAAGAGAGCCCAGCCGCTGCTCAACCCCAAGAGCATATAATCAGCCCTCACCCCAAAAAGGGAAACATGCCCCCTCGGAAATGGTTCTTCCCCCAGTCTCAGCTGGAAGCAATGCTGTCTTGTCCCTCCTGGAGCAGCTGAACATATACATAGATGTCGCCCCTCCCTCCCCATCTGCACCCTGTCGCGCTGTAGTCGGATTTGTCTGTTTATGCTTGGATTCACCAGAGTGACTATGATAGTGAAAAGAAAAAAAAAAAAAAAAGGGAAAAAAAAAAAAAGGACGCATGTATCTCGAAATGCTTGTAAAGAGATTTCTAACCTACCCCCCATGGGAGTCCTAGATGTCTCTCACCCCCCAGCTGGGACTTGGATCCAGAAAGCCAGTGTGACTCTCTTCTGTGGGGCCTCCCAATTTTTGAAAGACTTTCATCAACATCTGGGACCCAGCAGAGACCAGATGCTGACATCTGAGAACCCTCAGCTGCAAAGAAGGCCTGAAGCACAGGAGGAGGACAGAAGCTATGGTACCCCCTCCCCGCCCCCGGGGCTCCCTTCTGTCGGGCAGGGGGCAGTGTGTCTTGTGGTGAAGATAGCCCTGGAGAAGCCCCACAGCAGCCTTGAGAGAGGGTCGTACAAGTAACTCCCTGCGTCACGAGTGCCGGCTGGGGAAAGGTCTGCAACCCACCCTCCAGCCCGGGGTCCCGCTCCAAGCTCTCCCGCAGGAAGGCTGGCCCAGGCCTCCCCACCCGGGGCCTGAGGGCCACAGCAGGGGTTGGGATGCACTGCCTGCCCTGGACTGGCCCCAGGGGCCTGAGCCGCCTGACCAGGATGACAGGTCAGGAGACAACCATTTCCAAATCCTTGGCCAGAGCCCCTGCTGACCTTGCATGAAACCCATCTCCTGCCATGGGGAAAGGGAAGCAGCCTTTGTAGAAATCTGCTGTTTGAAGAAAATCAGCAACCTCGGCCTGGTTCTGCCACTTCTGATTTGGGTACAGTTAAAGGCAACCATATGGGGCTGGGTGGTTGGAGTCCAGGGCCAGACGCTTCATCTGCAGCCAGAGGATCATCTGGGCCCAAAACTTCCCGCAGTGAGGCTCTCCTCTGTCCTCTGAGTCCCAGCTGGTCTCGGAAGGGTTCTGAGGAAGAAAGAGGAAACTTGGTGTGAAGATCTGGTGGCTGTTAGAGATGCAGCCCCTCATTACTGCCACCAATTCTGGCTGCATTTCTTGAACCTCTTCCTGCAGTTTCTGCACCCTGCCCTTCAGTACCTTATTCCGAGGGCCTTACCCAGCGGGCACCGCGTGTTGCGTGGGCTGTTGGGAGCAGCCTAAAGATCGTGGTTTCGGGTCATCAGGTCAGTGCTGGCAGGGGGCCTGCAGAGCGCAACGCTGGCTTGGAACCGTAAAAGAGGACACGGCCCCCAGGGCTGGGCACTCCCCAACCGCCGTTTCTTCCAGGGTCGGTGTCCCTCGGGCGGGCTAGATGGGATACACTATCCGCCTGGTCGCTTCAAGCTCTGCATTCACTTTATCAAAAGTTCCATTTAAACTGACTTCAGTGGTGAGACTGTATCCTGTTTGCAACTGCGTGTTGTGCTCCTGGTGGGGCCGTGGGGGGAGAGGAACCTGTAGGAGTTACCACTGGGCAAAGGGGAGTCTTGGAGAGCAGGAGTCCAAGGCCTGGTAAGAATTTTCTTCCTGATTTCAACCACGTGTGCTAGAGGTCCCTTGGGATTTCACCTTCTCACCGACAGGTGCCACAGGCTGCCAGCTAGTTCCCATCTCCTTCCCGGCCAGATGCAGGCAGTGAGGCTTGTGGAGGAATCTGGAGATATGGTTGCTGTGACCCGCCACCCTTTTGCGGGGTTCCCAAGCCCGCAATCATGCCTCCCGAACACGCTGGCATCCCTTCCTTTAAGCTGCTGGCACCCTCCACGTCACCTTTCCCACCAGCTCCGGACACACGGCCTGTACTGCTAAGATCTCGTCACCCTTAAATCTCTGTCCTCCGAGGAAAGCAAAGAGGCAGGGATGAGGGCAGAGGTGGAGGTCATCAGCTGGTCCTATAGCTACAGATCCGTGGCTTCAAGAGACTTCTGGTTTCTCTTCAGCTTTGAAAAGGGTTACCCTGGGCACTGACCCAGAGTCTCACCTCCTAACGGACTTAGCCCCGTGAATTTGCAGTGTTGCACAGGACAATTTCTGGCACTTGCAAGTCCCATGATTCCTTTGTTAATTTTGAGGGTGGGGGGAGGGACACGAAACCACCTTAGCTTAGCTTCCTGTCTGTGAATGTCCATATGGTGTATTGTGTGTTTTAACAAATGATTTACACTGTTGCTGTAAAAGTGAATTTGGAAAATAAAGTTATTACTCTGATTAAATAAGGTCTCCATGTATGGATTCAAAGGACCAGAAAATGATGTATGATTTGCAGGTCCTTTCCCAGCCTTAGAGAACTTAGCTCAGGAAATGACAATATTGTTAAAACCTGGACATCAGGATTTACCAGCTGGGTCTGGGGCCCTGTAGGTGAAAGAGCTCTCAGACTTGTTCATTCTCAGGTGATTCTCTCATTCTGGTGCTGGCAAACCATCCTGGTCCAACTCAAAGGGCAATACCCTTGTGGGTGAGCTCACAAGGCTGCACTCAGTTTCTAAGACCCAGCCCACTGTATTCAAAGCTGAGAACACTGGGGTGGCTCTAGGAACCCTTTCTACCCCTGGAAATTAGCCTAGGGGCCTGGGGCTGAGGCAGGACACTAGGCCAGTCAGCTGAATGAATGGCTAGATGCCTTCCAGGATTACAGAGCTGCTTTCCTCTCTCCTTTGAGCCTTATTATAGATTGGAGAGTGTTTGCTAGATCAAGATAGGGATACCAGGTAGCCCTTGGCAATGCTACAAAGGAAAACAGAACAGAACCCATCATATTATTGTCCCTTAGTAATTAGGTCAAGGTCGTAACACTCAGGCCTTTGATTTTTCATACAGTTTCAAAATACTAGTTTTCTCAGCTTTTCCTGATGTGCTTTAGCCACTGCAGGCAGAAGCTTAAGTAGAGCTGGTCTTAACTGCAACTACAGAAGCAGCAACAGGGCAGCCACAGAGAAATGCTACCTCAGAACTCGTAGGTTTCATAGTCCGGAGAGGCAGCTGCATTGGCTGTGTCAACTTGATTCCTATGGAAAAAAAAAAAAAAAGGAAAAAAGGAAGTAAAGAGAGTCGCAGGCCTTCCCCACTTATTCATCTTGTACAAACAAAACCAAGCATAGCCTCCTCAGAAGAAAGCTGCTGAGAACCAGCTCAGGTTCCATGCAAAGTATATACATGTCTGCAGTGACCTCAACCCCAGAAAAGGTGGATGATGGAAAGTGAAATATCATCCATTAAAGAGCAATTTAGAATAGATAAAAAAATGTCACAATGCTGGCCGGCCTCACTAGAAGAAGGAACATTAAGAGCAGTGGATCAATTACTTACATCCAACAACAACAAAAAAAGACGATTTACAAAGACGCCCTTCCTCCTGGCGTCTCTCACCCCCGCCCCGGTGAGAACCACTCTCTCTCTGGTGATCATCAGAGGACTCTGCCCGGTGCCCAGAAGACAGTGGGGACTTCCCAAGGTTCACAGCCAGTCGGAGGACCCAGAGAACAAGTGCTCCTCAGGGAGGCTCCTCAGCCACCACCAGTACCATGTCCAGTAACAAGAAGGGCCTGGCATACAACATTCTGTAACTTTTTTTTTATTATTTTTTTCAATTTTTCCTTCCTTTTTTTTTTAAGCACTAGTCTGTGCTTTGCGAACAGAATCAAGACATTAACAAAGATCAGCTTCTCTGAAGAAAAGCATTTCTATAGAACAAAGACAGCTACATGTTTCGCTGCCAATACACAGCTCAAAGCAGGAAAAGAAAATATTTACAAAATACAAGGTTTTTTTTGTTCTTTTTTCTTTTTTCTTTTTTTTTTACAATGCTAAAAGGGTTATTCAGAATTTTCAACCTTATAAATAGAAGCACTTTATGCATAGGGATATGGTGCATTATTGTTTTTAAAGAAACAATGACAAACCCTTTAACTTGCAAACAGAATCAAAAAAAAAAATCACTAATGTTGAAAATTGTGAAAAAACCCCAACCATTAAGCAGTTTGTCTACTATTTTTATACGATTACAAAATGGCAAAAAAAAAAAAAGTCCTTATTGCCCCCCTTTTTGGTGATGTGATCATAGATGAGACAGGCACAAGGTTAATCCGGGGGGGGGGGGGCGGGGGGGGATGTTCGGGAGCCTCGGAGGAGGGCGCAGCCACAGGGGTGCGGGGGGCAGAGCGGAGAGATTCCCGCACAGAGGATCGGTGCCGACCGGCACTTACCAGCCCGAGAGTATAGCAGCTAACTCATCCTGTCTCCATTTCCCATTCTGAATAGACCAGCTCCAGCCAAACGTCTTGGGCAGGTATCCCTGGCTGGGTCTTCTCCCCAGCCCACAGTTCTCTCTGGTGTCCTCACCCTTGTTGCTTGCCTGGTTTTGGGGGGGGGGGGGGGCGGGGGGTGATGGGGAGTGATGGGAACCACAGCTAGGACCAGACAGTGTTCCACAGGCGAGGGAGCTCGAAAGAGGAAGGACCTGACAGACACTGACAGGGAACTGGACGGGGGTGGGGAAATATGACCAAATGACTCAGTGAAAACAGAATTATACAGGAGAGATGGCTGCTCATTTCCAAGACCCCCTAGAGTCTGCAGGGGAGTGGGAAGAGAGGTTAAGTAGTCCTAACCCTACCTCCATAGACCAGGTTAGGGGGGGAAAACGTTCCAAGTGGAAGGACTGTGTGCGTGGGTGTGTGTATGGTGTGCGAGAGCAGGTGAGAGGACATGAAGGGGCAAGATGGGGACCTGAGCAGCCGCAGCCAGGTTACCTCAGTTAAGGAGTCAGAACAGGGATGACCGAATGCAGAGGAAACCCAGAACAGGTCTCCAAGACCTGGGTGACAAGGGGAAGCCATTCTGTCAGCTGAGAGCTGGGTGAGAATAGCTGGAGTTCGGGCCAAGAGGCTCTGGTGGAGGTGCTCCAGCACAGACGACCAAGGGGACCCAGCTGGGAGGGCCGGAGCTGAGCTAAGCAACAGAAGGGACGGGGTACGAGCCCAGAGCACACTGCTCTCTCCCACCCTAACCTCAGGGGGCGATGCTGAGCTGGAGGTTCCTTTCCCTCTGCCCGCCTGGCTGTCCCACCCTGCCCACAGGGGCACGAGAGAGGGGTGATCATCCAACATCGCCAAGTCCAGTGATTCAACAGTGCAGAGGATGTGCCAGGACCAGGCCAGCAGGGTCTTATCCTGAACTATTTGCCAACTGGAAGAAGTGCTCAGGTGTGTGACGATAAAACATGGAAACCAAAACATAAACAAAACAAAAATCAAAACAAGAAAGAAATTATCAAAGTAGAATCTAAATTCCTTAAATTCACTAAAAACTGTGAAAATTTTCGGCATATGATGTTTGAATATCAAACGCAGAGTTTTCTGAAGCTTTAATGCCAATAGTGAGTCTGTTTAGATTCTCATATCCCACTCATCTGTGAGTTGGACGCTGAGCTGTGACTGTTGCCGCCAGATGCCGACTCTTGAGGGGAATGATGGGAGGCGAGGTGGGTGCCACCTCTGTCTCCCGGCCAGTCTTGCTGCCTGAGGTGCGCCGAGTGCAGCGGGACGCCCGTTCCTGTGCATCCAGTTGGTCTTCACTCTCTGCCTGGGGACTATACGCCAGGGGGAAGGTTCGCCGCTCCCATGGCTGGACAGACTGCGGGCAGATAAGATGCCTTGGTGAGGACCCAGTCCCAGCCCGCCTCCTTCCCCAGACATGTGGACTGGAGGCCATGCCCAGTCCCTCTAGAGTTCCTGGGCTGGCCCAGAGAAAATTATCAGAGTGGGCAGCTTTTTAATGATGGCCGGTCCCACGGTACCTTCAGAAAGTCAACTTCGAGTTCAGCCCCTGTCCCCTTCAAATTGGGGGGGAGGGGGGGATCAGTAAAATGAAGATACAGCTTGAGCAGGTGCTGTCCCCCAACAATCCCATCCGCCACCCTGCTAAAAGCTCACGGAAAGGCAGCGTTCCTCACCTGCTCGTCAAGCCCCAGCTCTGGTGTGGAACAACGGGTGTCTTCACTGGCCAGGTGTCGGAGAGTGTCCCGCGCCACGGGAGTGAGGGGGGCCGAGTGCAGTTCTGGGCTAATGGGGCTCCTGGGGGACTGCCCGTGGGAGAACTCGGACAAAGAGTGGCTACTGCTGACATCAGGGGAGGCGGGTTGAGGGGTGGAGGGGTTGGCACTGCCCAGTTGGGGCGTTGTCCGGCCGTCTGATGACCTGTAAGACCTGTATACCAAGAAGCACAAATCTGAGTGCCTGGTTAATAGGGAATTTCTTATGTGTTTGTTTTTTGGGTTGGGGAGGAGGCATGAAAAAAGCTTCCCGACCAGAGGAACTGAGGCAGACTGACACCAGCAGTTCTCTACTAGGAACCACAGACCCCTCACTTTCTTCCACTGCTGTGCACACGGGCAGGCACACAACACGGCATCTAAGAGCTGTGTACACCTGTCATCCCAAGAAAAGGCCACGGCCGAACAACGCTGGGGGTAATCCCTGGCTCAGTGCCCAGTGGATTCACAGGGGAAGGGGAATTAGCCCAGACTTTGAAAACTGCAGGCAAAGAAAAAAGCAAAAACAAGAGCCCTAAATATTTCTACTTGAGAATCCTGAGGGCTTCTCACTGTAACACTAAAGGGAGAGAGGGTAGGACAGTTCTTCCAAGTAAAGCAAGACCACAAAAATCAAACTCTACTGTTCAAAGGAAGGTTAACTTGTAGTGAGGCCTCCAAAGCTCCTCTAATCCAATCACTACAACCCCCAACCAGCCTCCAGATGCCATAGACAGCCTACTCCTGGACCCCGGGAGATCACCGGAGTTTGTCAGAACTGGACAGTCACCACTCAGCAAGGGTCCAGCATTTGACTGCTTATACCCTCATTAGTCCCAACAAACACCACAGAACGTCTGTATTCTCAGCCATCAACAGGGAATGAATATGAAGAACAACTAAGTGGCAACTCCATGGACACAGCTAGGGTCCCAACTCCCCGTTGACCCTCCCTGCACAGGCCCTGGAGGCCTGTGCCTGCTCCATCACCTGCTGCCCCGCCGCTGAGGTGGCACACTCGTGGTCCACAGCCACCGAGCCCTCTCCATCTCCTCACATTTGGCATGCAGGGCGGCGAAGGCTGCGTCAGACAGGTCCTCTATCTGCAAAAGAGCATCTTCATCGATCCCCCCCCTTTCCTCCAGGAAGTCAAGTTTAACTGCGTAGACCAATTCTAGAAGCAGCCCCACCCCACACTAGGCTCTTCCTGGTCAGGACAGGAATACAATGAGCTTGCACTTGACACCCACAGGTCTTGAGGCATCTGCAGTGTGTGCACCCATGAGTGCGTGTGCTCTTCTAAGAGGGAACGCCCATGCCATTACCTCCTCATTCTCCTCGTCAGGACTCCCCTTCAGAGACCGAAGATCAACCTCCCGCCAGCTGCAAAACCAGGAAGGAACAATTGTGAGATGGCAGGCAGTCTGGGCAGGATAAGTACATCCGTGCAGGAACGAGAGCTCTCCACCTGCAAGTGACACTGCTCTCTGCTGGGCCTGCTTAGCCCTGGGGCCTCTCTTAAGAGGTCCCACACTCAAATGCGCACAAGGGGCAGAAAGAGGGGAAGCAGGCTGAGGGTGGGACTAGAGCTGGGAAATGGACAAACTCAAGCAAAAGGACCTGTTTAGAGGGGACCAGCAGTACCCAGCAGCAGCTGATTGCTGCCACACGGGAGTGCACATACAGGGTTGCCCAATCTTTTGATGTGTCAACAAAAGCTGGAAATAAACATTCATATGTGAAATCTTGCTTTGATGCTAACAACAAATTCAATATTTTAAAACATATTTGTATGCATCAAACAAAACATGTCTATAGCCAGTTTGTGGCCTGTGGTCTGGTTGGTGCTCATATAATGGAAGAAAATTATGTAAAGAAATAACTTCACTCTGATCAGGTAGACCTTCTCTTAAAGAGAAGACAACAGCCAAGGCTAGGCCCCAAAGCTCAGTGACCAGAGGAGAGGGAAAAGGGCAATGACAGGAAGACCAGCAAGAAGAGCCCATCACCCAGGGCCTCTTACCTGGGAGTAAGGATCTCCTTGTACTGCAGCTTCTCTACACGGGTGGTTGCAGCGACTGACATTGGGATGACAATGTTGTTAATATCGAAGGAGCTCTCTCCCCTTCTCCTCCTTACTGGCTGCTGTAAGACAAAGGCAAGTTTAAGAGGGAGGAACAGTTCTACATACCTCAAATTATACATCTGAGATTTAAAACAGGATCACCAATAACCAGGAATCTGGGTCTTTGGGTAGGGCCCAGGCAGGGATGGCAGCAGCTGCTTGCACCTAGGAGACAGTCCCCCAACAGCAAAGTGTGCAGGGGAAATACTAAGTGGTCCTGAGGAGTATCTTCCGTCCACAAGTCTCACCTGCACCCTCTTTCTTCACGGACTCATGTGAAAAGAGACTTCTGATGGAGCTTACAGGGGTGGGTATCCTGGGGCCTTGAGTCAACTGCCACGGTTTCTACTACTCTACGCACAGCCTTATTAACAACCCCAACTAAATCTTCCTTTCTGCTTCCCCTTTTATCTCGTCTATGACACAGACCCATGGGGGATCCTGAAAGCAATGCTTCAGCCTGGTGGTGATTCTTCGGGTTAAAAAGATGAACTCCCCTACCCTCAAAGATGCCCAAAGGACAGGCCCAGCTCAATGGATCATCTAACCTTGGTTGTCATGGAAGCACCTCCTTCTCGTAGATCTGAACTCTTCAGTTAAATCTGTACCCACCATCTGCTCAGCCCTTACGTGATTTCCCCTTTCTGGCTATTATTCTGAGGGAAAGGGCTGAGAGCATTCTAGCTATATCAACAGAGATGAGTGGAGGGAAGCCTTGGCTGTACAGCTCACACTCCTGGAGAAAGGAAATTCGCTCCTATAGGAAGTTAAGATCAAACCCTTGGGAAAGAAGACTAACAAGGATCCAATATCAGAGGAGGAGGCGGGTATCTGCAGCAAGCGGGAGATCATAGGAGGAATAAAGCAGGGAGCCAAAGGGCATGGCTTCTTAGATGGAGGGGCATGTCCACGAGCTGCCTGTGCCCAGATAGCAAACACCCTGCTCTGAAACAGAGAGACTGGCGATTGAGCTGTGAGAGCCCAGAGTGAAACAGTGGGATGACAAACATGCTGCCATGGTGACAATACAGCTGCAGACAACTAAGAGGCTACATTCAAACCCAAACCACTAAGTGTGGCCACAGCCCAGAGTGAAGGAAGATGGGGAAGAGGTTGTTCCCTACAGCTGACCTCTCTACTCTCTGTTCCTAGAGGGGGATCTATGACTGATTCATCGTATTATTTCAGGACCTTCTCAGAAAATGTTGAAAGGCAATGTTTCCTGGGCCAGGATTTTAGCTGCTGTCACCTACGATTTCAGGTTATTACAATGTCTTTTTCATCTCAGTCTTCTCCTCTGTCTGTAGGAATAGACTATCACTGACTTCACAAATTTAGGGTAACTGGTTAACCAAAATGGTTGAAGAGACTTTTGCAAGTCTTGCCTGGCTGAGGATTAGTGACCTCACACTCAAAGGCTTCTGCCACATCTCTGCTGAACTTATACACCCCACTACAAGAAGTGTACCTTAAGAAAGCCTCAAGAGATAGCTTTCCCTATATCTTGGTCAAGAATGAATGTGAGGGCTTCCCTGGTGGCGCAGTGGTTAAGAGTCCGCCTGCCGATGCAGGGGACGTGGGTCCGTGTCCCGGTCTGGGAAGATCCCACGTGCCGCAGAGCAGCTGGGCCCGTGAGCCATGGCCGCTGAGCCTGTGTGTCCGGAGCACAGCTCCGCAACGGGAGAGGTCACAACAGTGAGAGGCCCGCGTACCCCCCCCCCCAAAAAAGAATGAATGTGAAACTGCTGGCAGAAACAGGAATGTACTTTTCCTGAATCTCCTTGGGCCTGCTGTTAGTGCCTTCAAGGCAAAGGGACAGGAGCGGGTTGTGGGGGTCAGCAGGCTCCAGCTCCCACCCTACATTTAGATTTCCCAATTCCATAAGGCACTCATTTGATCTAACTTAACTACTTTCTCCTGTTTAGAACGAGGTGGAGGGCAGGTGATGGGAATGAAAAGTGGTTCCCAAACCTGGCTGCACATCAGATGTAAGATGAGGAGTATATTTAAAAAAGAAAAAGAAAAAACAGGTTCAGGGCCCCCTCTCTTCTAACTACCAAATCAGAAAATCCAGAGCTTCCAAGAAAGAAAAGAAAAAAGCCCATGGAGGTGCTTCTGGTGCGCCTATCAGCTCTTGTGGCTTTCCGTGGGAGCGCTACCACATACACCCCCCCCTCCTCCCCCACCACTCCTCCAGTGTCTTGTAGCTTCTCTACCTTATTTCAACTACCTGGCCTATCACTCTTCTTGCTATTATATAAATCCAGATTCTCTGAAAAAATCTGGCAGCAAGAGCCTTAAGGGTCAGCACAGTGCTATATACAAAATTTGTACTCATTAGACAATAAGTAAAAATTTCAAGTGATCCAGGCCTAAGTTTACATTCTCCAAGCACAAGAGGGCAGCAGGTGAAAAAATACTGAAGTCTCACCAAGACTCAGAGAAGACTTCTATTAGAATTAGCCTCTTTAAAATAGTTTGGTTTTTCTGAGACCCCCTACTAATGGACAACTGAGTTAGTGATAGATACTACAACACCTATGGAGACAAAATCTGTGGGTGTGGGAGGGGAGGAACAAGGAGGTCATTCGGAAAAGACTCTGATTTTTTTTTTTTTTTGGTGGTACGCGAGCCTCTCACTGTTGTGGCCTTTCCTGTTGCGAAGCACAGGCTCCGGACGCGCAGGCTCAGCGGCCATGGCTCACGGGCCCAGCCGCTCCGCGGCATGTGGGATCCTAATGGACTGGGGCACGAACCCACGTGCCCTGCATCGGCAGGTGGACTCTCAACCACTGTGCCACTAGGGAAGCCCCCATCTATCATCTCTTATCTGGACCAATGCAACAGCCACCATCTCCTTGTTTCCATTCTTGTGCCACTGCAGTACACTATAGCCACAATGATCTTATTATAACAAATTAGATCACGTTACACTCCTTCTTCAAAGTGTCCTATGGCTTCCCATCACAACGGAATAAAATCCAAAATTCCTTATACCCAATATGACTTGGTCCCAGCCTACCTTGGCAAGTTCACTTCCCTCACGCACACTAAAGAATCACACTAGCCTTCTCATAGTTTTAGAATAATCCAACGTTGTGATTGCCTTGGGGACCCTGAACTGGAGCATCCCTCTGCCTAGACTACTCTAACCTTAGTTCATGCAGATTGGCTCATCCTCATCATTCAGGGCTCAGTTCAAACTCCACTCTTCAGAGAGGCCTTTCCTGACCATTCCGGGTACAGCAGGGCTTTCAACCACTCACTGTCGAGCACATCACTCTGTTTTCTCTTCTTCCCAGCACTTTATCACTACCTGAAAATCTTATTTTTAAAATCTATGTATTGTCTATCTCTCCCAACACGTGAGGACCTTGTTCCCTGTTCATTGTTACACCCTATGCTGAAATAGCTGCCAGCACATTGTAGATGAAAATAATTACATGTTGAATGAATGACCTCTTGTGGCCTTGGTTCAAATTTCTTTGTCTCTGAACAAATGTTCAGGTTTAATAACCAGAGTGTTTTATACATTTATTCTGTTATGCCTCTTTAAACGACGTATGTGAACAAAAAGCATTTTATTAACTTCTGAACTCACATGTCCTCTCTTCTGTCTTTAAAGTATCATGGCAAGGATGGTTAAGTATTCTCTAAACATCACACAGACACAGAATGAAAAAAAAAAAAAGAACTAATGTTTGTTTTATGCCCCAAATTAAGAGAAGTCATTTCCAAATCTTAACCTAGGGATATCGGTTCATGACATTTTACCTTCAACAAGAAAATATCTACTTTATAGGTATAACTGTTAGGGATTAAAGTTTCTGTTGTTTGTTTGTGAATAAAAGAATCTTTATTTATTGATTGATTCCCATAGGTTTATTTTTTATTTTATTTTTTTATCATCTTTATTGGAGTATAATTGCTTTACAATAGTGTGTTAGTTTATAACAAGGGATTAAAGTTTTTAAAAAGTTATTTCTTTTTATTAATATTGTGGTTTCCTACTTATTTAAAGAATGAAAACTAAATCTGATTCTATGTTAAAAGTACTTAGTTGCTGACAATAGAATCTGTACAACATTGTTTTTAGAATAGCCCATTCATTCAACATACATGTACATCCTTAGCACACTGCCTAAAATGTGGTTACTGCATATGTATGTTGAATGAATGAATGGACCTCTCTAAACACAAACGTTGGGAAGACAGGCAAACAACAATTCTAATATAGTGCCACAACCAGTGTGTGCAGAGTAACATGTTAGAAGAGGCAAGGCTATAACTTGCCTTGTCTCTTCTAACATGTTAGATGCCAGCAATATGCAGTAAAGGCAAAAATGCTTTCTAAGCCTAAAGGATAAAAAGATGAAGCAAACTGGTTGACGGGAGGTAGGGATGGAGCAGAGGTTGCTACAGAGTAAGAAGTGACCTACACTTAGAAGCAGGAGGGCCCCTCTACTCTGCCTTCCTAGAAAGTGAAGGACAAAGCTAAGGGCAATTATAAGAAGCCCAGGCGGCCCCAGAAAGCCCTGAGCAGGTGCAAACGAAGGCAGAGGTGCCGGGCCTGGCCCTACCTTCACTTCTCTCGGATGAATGGTCTCGCAATCTCATTTTGCTGTGGTTTGGGTCATGCACGGGTGGCGGCGGGTTGAGCGAGCGCTCTGCTTTGGGCGCTGTCACTCGCTCCACCATAGGCACGGCCCCCACATCGTCTAAGTGCTGCCTGTGGGTCCTGTCAGGCCGGGTTTGGTGATGGGACAGCTCTGAAGAGGGGAACAGAAAAAGAGCTGTGAAACACCTCCTCTCAATCTTTTCTTATTTGAGTTCCGAGCTCTTGAGTTCTCTCTAGGTCAGTGATAGACGCCCAGGGCAGCAGGACAGTCCTCTGGGACTGACGCTTCTGGCAAATAACACACTGGCCAAAACAGGCCAAGGAGCCCACAGGGCTCTCAACCAGAAAAAAGTGACACCAGACTACAGGAGACAGCCTGCCCACAGATGGACCCAATGCCACGGAACAGTTGGCTGTTCACTGAGCCCCAAGATACATGGTGTCTGGAGTAGCTTTCACAGTCCATCCGAGAGCATCTAAGACAAGGAGGAAAAGACGACTGTGAGCTGAATTTACATCAGTCAACTGCTTCTCCCAACCCCGACACAGTGCCATGGCCATACCCGTAACCTAAGAACACAAAAGGAATAGGAAAGTAATTGGAGGACTCTCTGGACCCCTGAAACTTACTGGCTGTTGTCAGGAAGGAGTTGACCAACTTGTGCCTGTCTTTACGAGTTGGATCAGGGAGACTGCCTGGCATGGGTGCTCTGTGCTTAAGTGAAAACTTTTTTGGAGGTTTGATTTTGTCAAAAGGTTTGTTCTGCCATTGAGATTTCAGCATGCTCTGGAAGTGCAGGCTTGTGGGAACATCTGCAAGAAACACAAAACACTGCGGTTTTAGTCCAGACACCTGGGCTCTGGGCTCTTCTCGCACGAAGTGAGGCGTGTTCACAGCAACTCTAGGTCACCGGTGAGCGAGACCCACACTGCACCCTTCTTTTATCTACCCAGTGGCAGGATGACCCAAGCAGGGCAAGCGCTGTCAAGTGGAAGATCTGTTTATTGGAACGTTACTGAAGGTCATTCTTTTGTTCACAGACAAGTCACTGTTGCCTTTTATTTGCAAGTTCCAAACAAAAAAATCTAAAACACCTTTTGTTAGATTGATGAACTTTTCTCTGTTCCTGTGTTCCACCAAGTCTGTTAATTTTATTGGTCTGAAAGACTGATAAACATCCTGTTATTATTCTTCGAGAAACTGAAATATTTCAACCTCCTTCTTTCTATCAACATAATCAGGATATATTCATTCAACAACTACTTACCGTCTATTATTTTATCAGACACTGTACTGGGTACTGCATCTTCCCCTAAATAAGAACTATACTATTCTCCCCCCTCCTTCCTCCAGACCCTCACCACCTCCCACCTGGGGATTACCTAGGTTTTTAAGTGGATTAGTTAATATTCAATATCATAAATTAATCTTTTAGACTTAATTATAATTTTTTTACCTTCTGTGGGGGTTCACCACTGTTTCTTGCATCTTTCCATTTTGTTAGTTTCCTCTTTTATTTTCCTAAGAATGTGGCCTTGAGTAATTTCTTTAGAAATAGTATTTCTAGATTAAAACCAGTTTTCTCTCAGACGTTAAAGCTATTACAGTGTCACCAATAAGATAGAATCTGACTCATTCACTTGTAGGTGGCTCTGTTTCTTCCTCTAAACTTTTTCTGGGGGGAAACAAGCTTGCTGTGGTAACTCTATGGGTCAATTTGGGGAGAACTCTAATACTGAGTCCTTCAATCCGTGAACGTGGTACACCTCTCCATTTATTTAGGATTTCTTTAATTTTCTCTCATCAGTGTTAGGTAGTTTTCATTGTACAGTTCTTAAAAAAAAAAGTTATTTATTTATTATTAATTAATTTACTTATTTAGCTAGCTGCGCCAGGTCTTAGTTGCAGCACGCGGGATCCAGTTCCCTGACCAAGGATCAAACCTGAGCCCCTGCATTGGGAGTGTGGAGTCTTAACCACTAGACCACCAAGGAAGTCCCCATTGTACAGTTCTTATACATATTTTGTTAATTTGATATTTTTGATGACATTATACATGACAGCACTTTTTAAAATTTCAATTTATAATTGTTTACTGCTAGTATGTAGAAATACAGTAATTTTTAATATAGTGACCTGTATCCTGTGATCTTGCTAAATCCATTACGAAGTTTTTGTTTGTTGTTGTGTTGTCCTTGGAATTTTCTACATACACAAGTATGTCACTTACAAAAAGCTGTTTTAATTTCTAATTTGTATGCCTTTTATTTCTATTTCTTGTCCTATTATTCTGGGTAGAACCTCTAGTGGCAATCTGAAACTTACATTTTTCCTTTTTATAGTTTCATTCTGAAACTTCACCACCATGGATATAGGTGTGGGTCTTTTTTCAGGGTTCTAAAAAACTTTCCATGGTCCTTTTTAATCTGAAGACCAGAACATCTCTCTTTAGCTCCCAGTTCCTCCTGGGAATCATTAACTACCTGGGACATAGTCAAAGTCCAAGCCCCTGGGACTTCCCTGGTGGCGCAGTGGTTAAGAATCCGCCTGCCAATGCAAGCGACGTGGATTCGAGCCCTGGTCCGGGAAGATCTCACATGCCATGGAGCAACTAAGCCCGTGCACCACAACTACTGAGCCCACATGCCACAACTACTGAAGCCCACATGTCTAGAGCCCGTGCTCTGCAACAAGAGAAGCCACAATTAGAAACACTTGCACCACAACAAAGAGCAGCCCCTTCTCGCTGCAACTAGAGGAAGCCCAGGCACAGCAACGAAGACCCAATGCAGCCAAAACTAACATAAATAAAACAAATTAAAAAAAAAAAAAAAAAGGTCCCAGCCCCTGAGTTCATACCCGCTGCTGTAGCAAAGAATGAAACACCACCACTCTATGGAAAAGGGGAAAAATCCAACCTAGCTATATTCCAAAACAAGTCCAAACTTATCACCCAGGCAAATGCCCAAGTCCCGTCCTTAGTTCTGTTGTCCTTTTTCACTGTGGGCAAAGAACCTTCCCCTAACAGCTCCTACCCCATAGCAGTTTACTCAAAAGCATGTGCTTTGGGCTCCCCTTTTTTCTAGTTTTATTTCTTCACAGTTATCCTGTTTGTTTTCCATCTTTCAAAAATCACTCCAAACTCTATTCACCAATGGCATGCCTTCTTTTTTTCAGAATTGTTAGAGGTTTATTTAGTGTATTTTCTAAACATTATTGAGGTTTTGGTGCCCAGGGAGGATAGTTTAATCTGATGTGCTTAATCTGAGCTAGGAGCTAGGGGGGCAAAGAAGAGGGAAATAAACGAACATTTACTAAACCCATTATATTGTGGCTGGCACTGTGTATTACTTAATCTTCGTAACAATTCCATGATGTAAACATTACTATGCTCCCTTTAAAGCTAAAAAACAGAACCAGAAAGGTGAATTAACTGTCAAGGTTACACAATTTAGTAAGTAACAAGCAACATTCAAGCTCAGGTCTGTAAAATCCTAAAACCTATACTCTTAGCCACTACACCATGAAATTATTCTTTGGCCCAGAGAATGGAGCAGTTTAATTCTGGGGTGAAATCTGATATTTCTCAAATTATTCCCAAGGAACTGGAGAGTACAGGATATTTTTCAAAAGAGTTCTGCAGTGTAAAAAAGAAACTCCTTCCTATAGCATAGACCATGTATCTCATGACACTTCAAAGAACAAGATACATCTCTGGGAACAGTGCTATCTCCTGAAATTTTTTCCCATAATCATTCTTTCTTTCTACACTTAAAAACAAATTCACGTATCCCAAACCTTAACATAAATATATCAGCTTTCAGCCAGGCCAACGATATCAGAGCTCATTGTACTCCCAGCCCTTAGATCCCACCCAAGGCCCTCAATAAAATGGTTTGATTTTCCCATCCCCCAAAGGTCAAATGTTTAAAAAAAAAAAAAAGATCTCCCAAATAAGAATTAAGTTTAGAGGTATTAATGGTAAAAATTCCTTGCTCTAACTCAGAGTGGTTGGGGAAAAGTATATAGGAAATAAAGCATCGTCTAGAGGAATTCTGAAAGCTGGGCTGAGCTTGAAGGTATAAAGAAGGCTCAAGAAGTAGGAGAGCACCTCCTCTATATCCCAGGATACCCCTTGGTCAACAGGAGAGTTACTCCCCCCCTTGGCAAAGGCTGGTTGTTTTTTTTTTTTTTGGCCATGCCACGCAGCATGCAGAATCTTCCCTGAGCAGGGATCGATCCCTCTGCATTGGGAGTATGGAGTCATTAACTACTGGACTGCCAAGGAAGCCTGCAAAGGCTGTTTAATGGGACTACAAAAGCATAGTAGTTTCACTGTCTTTTCCTTTTATTTTCCAGTCACTGTGCTCCCAAACCTGAAAATTAAGCCAGGGAGAAAAGGAAATAGGATATGGTTATGGTGGAAATAAGTAGTCCTAGACACGGGTCCTCGTCCCCTCACTGAGTAGAAGAAAACAAGAGCAAATCACTTAGCTGGGCTTTAGTTCTTCATCTGTGAAATGAGGCAGCAAGCCTTGATCAGAGCCGGTAACATCCTAGCACACATGCTCTAGCTCTCTCCTCTTCTGTCTGCTGCAGGCACAGGCTACTCGCAACATTCTTTCTGTTGTACCCCAAGACCTTAGACCCGTCTCAAATAATTAACTAGTTAATTAAATCCATACAGACAACATCAATCAATTGGAGTTAAGCACGAGAGAAAAGACATTTATATGTTATTGCTAGACCAGATGACTGCTGAGTCTCTCAACTCTAACATATTAAATCAATGAGTCTTCAACTAAAACTCCACTCTTAATCCCCTCCCCTCATTTAAATGCTCTGAAGCGGAAGCTGGCACAAGTGTAGACCACTACTGCCTTGTGCTCTGGAGCTGAGGTACTAAGCAAAACCAAGAGCAATTTCCCCTATAAGCCCACTGAGTAAGCAGTTAGGGATAACAACAAACTGTTTAAGGGACTCAGGCTGCTAGAAGTTCGCTGTGTTTTAACTGCTTTTATATAAGAGTAAAGAGAAACTCAAGTTAAACCCCCCAGTCAGTGAACAAAAATGATCTCTTAGGAATTGCTGGTCTGAGTTCCTGTTCTGAGTAATAACACCTGGGATCTACAGAGCTACAACTCTGAAACAGATTGGATATAGAGGACCTGAAAGTAAGCAAAGAGTTGTAAAAATGGAAGAGAACACAGTAGGGACCCATTCAGCTAGAGGACTCCACACACTGCATACCTGCGTAGGTAATGGCTATTAAAGTGTATTATCAAACAGGAAGGTGCAGATTCTTGAAGTGCACATCAATGACAGGAAACATCATCTTAGGTTACTATTTCCTCAAACAAAATGAAAAGACCTTAACTTCAGGCCCACCAGGGTCTGACACTCCAAGATTAACCTGTTTTACTCATTACTTTCCACCATTTTCTCAAGAACACTTTCTTGTGGTGTTTTGTAATGCTCACTTCCTCCTCCTGCTGGTAAGGTGCAGTGGCCTCATGTATACAGCTAATTGTCTTGGCAAGCTCTCTCAAAAGAGCACTGATCTTCACAGCCAGCAGGTGGTGCTCTTATTAAGCACACACCTAAATCTAAACATTCTTTCCCCCAAGGTTATATACATCCTCTACATTTCAAGCTAAGGATTAACTGGCTTGATTAAGTGAGGTAATAAGGAAACAAGCTCCTCTTTCTGGAGTACTAAAGGGTTATCACACCCTAATGTCTCCACCTTCCAGTCAGGCAGTAGTTCCTCAAATTAATGGTAGCGGCTGAGGTGTGGCAAGATGGAAGATAGAACTCTAAGATTAAGAGCTGCAGTTGGTTCCCATCCTCACAAAGTACACAAACTGGTTAGGAAACATTAGTAAAACTCTACACGAAAATGAAAAGTTGGAAGTCCCGCAGTCTTTAAATATAGTCTAGAGAAGAGGCTGCAAAGGGGTGGCCCAGAGGTCAGGTCTGGAGCACGTTTGACTCACACAGGGGTGCTGGCTGCTAGTCTTCACCATTACTCACTATTCTACACAGAGATATTTGGGGAATCTCAATACTTTAGGAGGCGCTATTCACATCTTTGTGGCCCTGAGAATCTTCCAGTTTACAAATAGATAGCATTCTGAATGTGGCAGTTGTTTGGATCAAGTCAAAATTATCCCGATAGTCACAATATCAGATACACTAATTAGGTCCCCGAATCAACCCACAGAACGTCTAATTTATCCATAGGCAGATATGTTAATCATTCTACTTGGTAAATATACTATTCCCCTGTACAGTCTCATAAGTAGAGTTTAATGACCAACTCGCTTGTCCAAACCCCAATGTTATGGTTAGGAGGGAGGGAGGGAGGGAGGGAGGGAGGGAGAGTGAGTGAGTGAGTGAGTGAGTGAGTGAGTGAGTGAGTGAGTGAGTGAGTGTGTGTGTGTGTGTGTGTGTGTGTGTGTGTGTCAGAGAGAGGGGAGAGAAGGGGGAAAGGCAGGAGGGGGAAAAAGTGGTGGGGGAGACAAGACAGACACAGAGAAACAGCAGGCAGGAAAATGAAGACCACAGAGACCATAGAAAGGGGTCTCCTTCCTTTCCCCCTCATTTGCTACCTATGGCTGCTTGGAATGGAATGGAGTGGGGAAGTGTAAGGGCAGCAGTCAGATTTATAGATACGATGCAGTCAGAAGAACAGAAAGTGTTAATAGGAAATAGGTACCTCCTAGTAGAGATGCTGAATGATGGAACAGGAGATGCCAGGCAGGTGTTTTGGGCATATATGATCGGGGGATGGGAGACAGAATTCACAACTATACATGGTAATATTGCTGACAAAGGAATGATCAACATATTTATCAACTGATATTCAATGAGTATGGAAGAGACCTTATCAGAATCAGATATAACTATAGGCTTCAGCCTTCTTTATTCAAATATGAGACCATACAATTCAATATTGTAATCCTGAGAGAGTAACTCAAGAAATGTTCCCAAATCATCCTGGTGTCTCTGTCTGTAGCTAGAGTCTGGAAACAGGTAGAAACCCGACTTCTCTTAATATCCTGGCTGAGGAGAAACATGAACTATAGTGAAAAGAAGGACAGGTATCAGATGACCTCGGTTTGAATTCTGGAGCCTTCTACATTAGCTATGTAGCCTGAGATAAACCACAACCTCTCTAAGCCTATTTCTTGATCTGTAAAACTGAAGTAACTTTACAAGATTACTGAGAGAAGCAAATGAAACAAATATAAGAAAAGTGCTTGTAAACTATAAAACACTATACAAATATTATCTTAAGTTATATAAGTTATAATCCAAATGGCAAGAAAGGGTAAATGTCAATGACTCTGGAATCTGAAGTACAGAGGAGAATGTTGTAGTGTTTTCTACTCATTATGTTCTAAAGTTTATTTACTGTTCCACCACTCCTGACCTAAACCCCTGCCTAGCTTGCTATCCATATGTTTCAAGTTCTCTAAATATTTCCACTCTTACTAGAAGTCATGTGGCAGCAAGAATATTATACCATGCCTTTCTTACAGTTGAAGGGAGTCATGATAGTAAGGCTTGGAGTAGCTCAACAGATTTAGGTGACCAAGAAAGAATCCAGTCATTTGAAGAACAGATAAGGAATGAGGGGATTACAGTCATCTGATGTTTGATCAATTAGAGATGGGATTCTCCAGGATAGTTTATCAGTAATGACTTTTTATAAATAAAGTTTTACTAAAACAGCCACACCCACTTGCTTATACATGGTCTACGACTGCCTTTGTGCTATATGGGCAGAGTTGCCTAGTTACAACATAGACTAAACCTAGCCAGTATGATCCATAAAGCCTAAATTATTTAGTATCTGCCCTTTTATGAAAAAGATAATATACTACTGATGCTAAAAAGAACTTGGGTTTTCTTCTCATGCCAATAAGTAAATCTTACATCCCATATAATTCACATTCCCCAGACTCCTATTTTAGTTATCCTCCTTTCAAAAACTTGCACAGACTATCTGTAAGGTGCTATGAGGGATAGAGCAGGAAGAAAAACATGGTCCCTTACCCCGAGAGAACTTAAAATTTAACTAATGGAAAATAAGGTCATAAACAGCCATCATATAAACCATAACACAAAGATAAAATAACACAGTGATTCAAGAGGGGCCAGATCATGAGATTATTTGCAAATCAGTGAAACAAATCCAGATTATGAAAACAGTGGCTTCCTGTAGTCTATAGAACAGTTTTCAATATTTTTGCTCATGTACCCCCACCATATGAAATGTAATTTTTATTTTATTTTTTAAATTTTTAAATTTTTTTGGCCACACCGTGAGGCTTGTGGGATCTCAGTTCCCCGACCACGAATTGAACCTGGGTCCTGAGCAGTGAAAGCATGGAGTCCTAACCACTGGACCGCCGGGGAATTCCGAAATATAGTTTTTAAGAAAATCATGAACTCAGACAGTTGTAAAGGCTGTATTTTCTAGAATACTATATGCATTAAAGATATTTATTTATACCAACACCTCAGCATGTACGTATATAATATTTACCTTAACTAAAAAAAATCTTTTACACCTACTTATTCAGACTACAGTCACAGTAAAATCTAATTTCAGTTGTTAATTCTTTCTCTTTTTAAAACTTAAATACTGTACAGTTGACGTGCAATATGTTAGTTTCAGGTGTAAGTTATTAATTCTCTATTTATTCTAAGGTGACAGAAAAGGCAGAGAATTTTGCCTTAAGTTATATACAAAAAAATAATGTACCTCCATCTTCATTATTTTTTATTCAAAACTTCCTTTTACTTAATTCCCACAGGATTCTTCTTCAGGAGCCATGAACTCTGAAATGGTTCCTTTGGTGTCCCTACTGCCCAAGGTTTTTACACTCTGGGGGGCAAGACCCACAGCAAGACTCAATATGGGTAAGAGGAATGACTTTCATGTCGTGGGAGAAAAGCAATTATGAAAAGGGAGGTGAAAAAGGAAAATTGGCAGACACGGAGGCTTATCAGGTAGATCAACTTAGCAGCGCTCCCATGCTGTTTTACATCATGGCACACATAGATAATACATTTTTAAAGACAGACTCTGTATAACAGACCAGGCTCCAAGCATTGTGGCTGGAGGCAACTGTCCTAGCCTCACCATTTGAAGTGTTAGGGGAATTTCTCTCTTAGCAAGCTGCAATGTTTTAGTGGCACATTCCGGTCTGGGAGACCTATTTGCAAAATTCTAAGAGAAGACTTTGTTGACAGCAATACCTTGACAGTACCTGGGGGTTGTACCAGAATCTTGGCCGACTTTCTTTCACTTTGAACCCTTTAAGTCTCACGTATTAGACTTTGTATTATGTAGACTTTCTTACCATCTGGAAATGCTAGAACCGGGTGAACACAAGAATCCAACTGGGAAAGGCGTTCCAACAGAGGGGCTTCATAGTGGATTTCTGGAGGCGTGGTGCTGGCACTGCCTGAGCCGCACAGTGCACAGGAGGGATTCACATCACAGCCAGAGCGCACTGTGCTGTTCCGGTGAACCTGTGAAAAGTCAGACAAAACTGACAATTCAGTGTCTGATAAAAACCCAGCTTCCCATTCAGTATCCCAAAGATTCAAAAGGCCCTCTCTAGGGACTTCCTTGGCAGTCCAGTGGTTAAGACTCCGCACTTCCATTGAAGGGGGGCACGGGTCCGATCCCTGGTGAGGGAACTAAGATCCCACATGCCGCGCAGTGCGGCCGGAAACAAACAAAAAATCATTATGATGTACACCTGAAACTATGTAATGTTATATGTCCATTATACCTCAATAAAATAAGAAATAAAATAAAAGTGACCTGCAAGCTAAAAAAAAAAAAAAAGGCCCTCTCTAGATACATATATGACACCAAACAAAATGTTTGACCAGTTTGTTAAAAGATTTCCATTTCTCCAACACACTAACCTTCAAAATAATTAAGTAAACCTGCTTCTTCTCCAATGAAGACATTAAGTTACGTGAAGCCCTTAGGTGCTTACCAAGAACACTTTTTACAAAACCTGTATGTTTCTACCACCTTGATGGTTTTCCACCATCTGCTAAGGTGAATAGCTGGCTCCAGATTTCTGGCTGGAACATGACTTTGCCCTCTTCAGCAACTTCATCCACCTAAGAGCCATACTAATGAATAACCAACCATACCTCTCCTGTTCTTTTCACATCTCCTGCTATAAAAAGACTTCCAGGTGGCCTGAAATGACACGGCAAATTTCCGTGGACTACACAGAACTCATTAGCTACTCTTTAACCTAGCCCAAAAATCTACTGTTATAAAGCTCATACTTAAGTAATGAAAATGAATTTGGGATGGTGAGTGTTCATACCCACAGTCTTTGTGCTAGATTAACTCCAATGGGATAGAAATCATTTTCATTAAACTTCCTTTGTATACATGTTAGCAGGATAAGAAATACCTCTCCAGCTAAGTCCACAGTCAAAAATAATCACAGTTGGGCTTCCCTGGTGGCGCAGTGGTTGAGAGTCCGCCTGCCGATGCAGGAGAGACGGGTTCGCGCCCCGGTCTGGGAGGATCCCACATGCCGCGGAGCGGCTGGGCCCGTGAGCCACGGCCGCTGAGCCTGCGTGTCCGGAGCCTGTGCTCCACAACGGGAGAGGCCACAACAGTGAGAGGCCCGCATACCGCAGAAGAAAAATCACAGTCAAAAATAATCTAAGTCTTCAAAAGATTTAATTCTATTAAAAACAAAATGGGATTTTTATGATTTTGTGCTTTGAGGAGAAAACTTCAGGTCAAGCTGAATGCAGGATCCCTAGGTTCTTGTGTTAGGATGAACAACTCTGGCATTTGCCAAATCATGACCACAAAAAAGTCATCTGGGTAGCATGCAGTCCTAGAAGAAGGGATTTGTCTGTGGAATGACACTATGACAAGGGATGCTAGGAGCAAGGGTAGTATCATAATAAAGACAAAAGGGTAGCATCAAAACTCTGTAACAACTGCAAGAGGTACATTTAGTTTCAGCACACCCAACTCTTGAAAGCTGTTTGCCTTCACAGACACGCACAGAAGAAAGATAAATATGAGAACAATGCGGTCTTTATCAACATTCCCCAACTGCCTCCTTCTTGCAGCAACATAGATGGGTGGCATTCAAAGAAGGCCCTGTGAAGGTTAGACTGGGCAACTTATGCTAAAGTAAAAGAATTCTACTAAGCTGCAATTGTAGATGCCTTTGAAAGGAAATTATACCAACTAAACACACACTTCTGTAGACATTAACTGGTACTGTTTTGGGAAAAAATACCTCTTGCAACCTATTTAACCAGGGCTGGCTTTCTGGGGGAGGTAACATTTTGAGGCAGAGAGAGAGAGGGGCCTACATTGGCAGGGACAAAAACCACAGACTGCACAGGAGATGAATGGGAGGATTAGGTAATTAGAATCCAAAAATGGCACCAAAACTTTAAACACTGACAAGATTAGAAAAACATATAAAAATCAGAATAAGAAATCTTAAAAGGGAGGTATATTTTCTCCTCATAAATTAACCCATGACATCAACTAGCTCTCCAAGTGGGCAATGCACAGCATTCCATTTTATAGACTGGATGTAGAGTAAAAACGATATGGCAAGAGGAACAAACTAGGAGAAAGATTAAAATAAAAACTGAAATTACGAAAAGAAAAAATACGTGCTAGAAACAGCAAATTTAAGAACTGCTCACTGGGAGTTTTTTTTCCCCCTTCTTCCCAAACCCACCTCAAGAATGGGTTAGATAGGAACAGAGCAATTCATTAGATAAACTGTAAGACAGGCCTAATAGAGAGAAAAAAGGAAAAAATGCAAACATATAAGAACTCCTCAAAAAAGCACTAGTTAATTGATAAACTGGATACAGGATACAATAGTGTAGACACATACACACAGCCAAGTTAAAATAAAAATAAATAGTCTTGACATAATAATGTTATATCCAAATAAAACACTAACATGTAGAGAGATGCAGAGAGAAGGAGGATAGAGGAATGTGCAAGAAACCACTGACGTGGTTATGATGGTGGGGAGGAGATTAAGGAGAGCTTTCATTTTCCACATTACGCATTTCTATAATGTTTAAATGTTACAATTTTTATATTCCATCTAATCGGAGAATACAATACACATGCCTTAAATAAAGGTAGGGGCTCAGACTAGTCCTCAGTGAAGCCTTTAAAAACACTGAAGAACAGACAATTTCTATTCAATTAAAATGGCTGGTGCTGGCATAAAGAAATTAGATTTGTAGGGCTTCCCTGGTGGCACAGTGGTTGAGAATCTGCCTGCCAATGCAGGGGACACGGGTTCGAGTCCTGGTCTGGGAAGATCCCACATGCCGCGGAGCAACTAGGCCTGTGAGCCACAACTACTGAGCCTGTGCGTCTGGAGCTTGTGCTCCACAACAAGAGAGGCCGCGACAGTGAGACGCCCACGCACCGCGATGAAGAGTGGCCCCCACTCGCCGCAACTAGAGAAAGCCCTTGCACAGAAACCAAGACCCAACACAGCCAAAAGTAAATAAATAAACATTTTTTTAAAAATGAGTTTTCATCAGAATTAAAAAAAAATTAGATTTCTTTAGTCCTCTTAGAAAAATAGAATTGATTTAAAACCTGATAAAAGTATGTGCACACATACTTACACACCAATCTTACTTTTGAATGAAAAACTGTGAAGTGTTAAAAGAACCTGTAAGTATATAAAAATATCTTAATTTATTAAGAGGTAAATTTGGGGAATTTTTTTGAAGGACAGTTCGGGCAACTTTAAATATACACACACAGAATTAAGATGCCAAATTATACACATTTATTTATTTATTTGTTTGTTTACTTTAAAAACCACAAAAAAATAAAAACAACCTACCATGAGCAAGTGGGATTTATTCCTGGATATCAAAAGTATTTGATATTAGGACATCAATTAATACAATTTCAACACTGCCCATTCAACATCACCACTTAGATGTCTTAACAGGCATTCAGAGTTAGTGAGTTAACACTGAGCTCTTACCTCTTCCCAACTTCCAGTTGCTCAATCGTAAATCCTTGGACTCATCCTAAACTCTTTTATCATACCACAAAACCAATCATGAAATCCTATCGTCTCCGCCTTCTAAATGTATCCAGGATCTGACCATTTCATACCACCTCAACTGCAATCACTATCTTTTCTCATATGGGTTTCTTTTTTCTTCTTTTTTTTTTTTTGCAGTACGCGGGCCTCACTGTTGTGGCCTCTCCCGTTGCGGAGCACAGGCTCTGGACACGCAGGCTCAGCGGCCATGGCTCACGGGCCCAGCCGCTCCGTGGCACGTGGGATCTTCCCAGACCGAGGCACGAACCTACATCCCCTGTATCAGCAGGCGGACTCTCAACCACTGCGCCACCAGGGAAGCCCTCATATGGGTTTCTTAAATAGCCTCCAAACTGGTCTTCCTGCTTGTCCCTCCTTCCAGTTATCTGACACAGTAGTTGGAGTAATCTTGTTTTACAACCTCAGTCAGACCATGCCAGTCCTCTGCTCAAAACCTTCCAATGGCTCATCTCATGAGGAATAAAAGTCAAAGTTCTTGCACTGGTACACACAAAGCCCTATACCATCTGTCACTTCTATCCCCTCTCTGACTTCATTTCCTGCTTCTCTCCTAGCTCACGCTACCAGTTCCTCTGACTTCCTTGTTCCTTCCCCAAAATGACAGGCAAACTTCCTGATCACAGGCCCCTGCACTTGGCTCTTCTATTAGCTCCATGGTCATTCCCTCACCTCAGGTGTTTTTCTCAAGTGTCATCTTCCTAAAAATAACTTTTATTTAGAAACATACAAGTGACCAAAGAGTCTATCTATTCTTGACTATAACAACAATAAAAAAAAAATACTGGGATAAGTTTAACTAGAAATTTTAAGCACAAAGCTTAAAGCTATTAATTATTAATATTCTACAAATTAATCTATCATCTTACAAACTCAGTAGGTTTTTGGTACAGAAGAGAGAAGAGGTAAATGTAATTTAAATATACTACAAACTGGAAGAATTTTAAATGCCAAGGGGAAAAGTTCCCAGAAATTTTCTGATAAGCAAAGGTAGACGGGAGTGATTTGCCCTGCCACATTTTAAAAGTTACAGTAATTTAAAAAAATATGCTACTGGTTAAGGAACAGAAAAATTAATTAAACAAAAAGAAAAAATAGACCAATATATATAACATGACAATATTAATGTTTAACACAGGCAATATTTCTAAATGAATTAACTAAAAAAAAGGGTCAGGGGGAGATGACTTTTCCAATAAATGAATCAGGGAAGTTAAGGTCTAGGGAGTGGGAAGCAGTTGGATTCCTACTTCACATCAAAATAAATTCCAAAGGTATTAAAGATTTAAAGATAAAAAAAACATGTTTAAACTGTAAAAGAAAAATTATGTGGCAACATACAGTAGTTAAAAGTGTGGGCAGGGCTTCCCTGGTGGCGCAGTGGTTGAGAGTCCGCCTGCCGATGCA